TGCATTATATTGTTATTTACGAGGAGATTTACTATTTATTTCCATAACGCACTGTTTACAATTTATTAACTTTGCCAGCTTGGAAACTAAATTAGTGCCATGTAAATAATTGTGTTAKGTTAGTGTCAGTATTACAATATTTTAATTTCAGTTTGGTATTATTTGGGATTCAAATCCGTTTAAAGGCACTATTTCACTGTAAAACTTATAAACAGTTTATAAATTTATATTTTCATTAGTTGACAATTTTATTGTGTTACTTCAATCGACTAACCATAACTACGATAATYAAAAAGTTACGGATATTYAAAACGTARATATTTGATACAAACATGACCTTTATTTATCGGCTGGGATCAAGAACTAAGTATCAGCCCATGTGCCTTTACTGAAATTTATCTAAGCTTGAAAGTCAACATTACTGATATAACATCAAAACAGAGATTGAGGTCAACGCCTAATCATTATGTAATGCACATAGCATTATAAATACAGTSGGCTTTTCATAACTAATTATTTAGTAGGCAATATAGCGCTCCTGTAGAACACTACCAACGTCTCCTCAGTAGTTTTACTTATTCACAAGCTCGTGTGTGTACTCGAGATCGCTCCACTACCACTTAACCAACAGGACCATTCTGCTATATACTATACGTATACACCACTCTATTTTATAGTTTATACTATATTATTATTATTATACCTTCATCGGGTCATAAACAACGAGGAATATGTTCGACGAACCGAATTTTCGGAAAAATGGGGCGAAACATTTATTTTGATAGTTAACTATGATAATATATATATATATATTATTTTATATGTAAAATATTCAGTGAATATGAGTGGAAAATCGTTATTGTATTATGATAATATATGCACGTTAATTGCGTATTTGGTAATTGTCATCGAAAAACTGATAATRATCATAATAAGGAGTTTTAATAATGTGATGAGTTTATATTATATTATTAAAAGTCATACATGCAATATTTTTTTTAAAGATATTTAATTTATTTTAACATAATTATATAACAGATGATAATAATTACACAAAAATTGTAATTGGTGGATGAAGAAGCCAAAGTGCTATAGGTAGTAAAGTCAAAGCCAGGAAATGGTAGTGAACTTAAGTACAGAAGATAAAGGAARACTGAAATATTGTAGGACTGTTGTCAATGATTTTTTTACTACCAATTATTGATGTAATTTTAGGMTGTAAAAAGAATAAGCCACTTAATTTCACCTTTTTTCATTGATCCATGCTTGATCATGCAATAKCATACTCATAAGATAACCACGAAGATTACAGAAATTTAATTATTCTTAAGTAATCTTAAATAGTTTAAACAATTTAATTCATAACCTTTCAATAATAATAATAAATAAACATGCAACTATGTTTGTTTGAATATTGAGTCTGTTTGGAAGGAAAAACAATAAAAATTCACTTAATAAAAATTGAAAAATAAATGACGATGTTAAAACGATATTTATTTAAGTATTTTTGTTGGTAGTTGTAAGATTATATGAAAATGAATATTAAGTGAGTTTATTAAATAAATCCTCATAAAAATTGATTTAAGTAATTTAGACACTAAGTTGTATYTACCCAAATATTATTGTAATCGTATTTATTAATTTACTTACTGTAATCAATAATTTAGYTTATGTTGTTAAAACAGATATGATAATGTAAACAAAATTAAGGATAATATAGGGCTTTATGCCTACGGCACTATATGCATTTCAACTGTAAGAGTATTATTTATTAATAAAAAGAGAATCGAAAGTTTTGTATTTAAGTTCTCCAAAGATCACAGTATCAATAAATTTAAACTAGAAGAAACTGATTAWAATATACATATTTAAATCGTTTGTATCTGTTAAATAGAATTTATCGTGTGAAAAAATTTGTTTTTTTTTTGTTTTGACATCAATTTTAATTATATAATTCAACCCTATAGTACCTATAGTATAATATTTGAATATTATTTTATGAGCTACAGTCCCTAATCCTTAAGTCCCACTCTAAAATATGTATTTCACGAATTTTCCCAGGTTATTTCATAAGGTTATTTAGATTAATTCTTGGTTATCGTTATGTCTCACATAATATTTCATTAAAAAAATCTGCTTGTTTTAAATTGTTGTAACCCAACAGAAAAATATTAGTGTTCAGTTTTTCAAATTATAGGAGTTTGACTAACTTTATAACTATTCAGGGGGTCAGAAATGTCACGGATAAACCTGCMTTTTCTCAGAAAAATAATCAAATAGAGACTGGCAGAAATAATTAACGTTAGTATTAATATTGTTGCATTTTCGGAAAACGTCTGGATTTTGATTTTCTACGTCTCATGAAATTGTCGATTGTGACCCTATTACCCTAACTAACCGTTGATTGAATACAATGTTTGTGGTTCTAAATGAATATTTCAAAATTGCTGAGTTTCCATGAAACAGCTTGCCGTATTATAAGCCTCAGGGTAATTTAAGTTTCTACGGCYGTTTGAACTATAATAATAATAATAACAATTTTWTCATTTTCGTGTTATTCTGAAAGGAACAAATTTAGTGTTTTTTCATCCAACATCTAGACACCGTGATTTCAATAGCTGCAATTATTRTAATTTTGCATACGCCATGCYTGATCATCATTAATTTKTTGTACATAAAGACTTGCTTTTTAAAATAGTATAAGTCTAGAAAATTACACATGTATCGCATACTTTAGTGTCGCCCTTTAAAAGGGTTTAAGCARTAACGTGTGAAAACACTGATTATTACCATCTCTTTAAGTGATAACACTTAAGAAACACTCTCTTAAATACCCTTAGTGTGTTATATCATAATGCTAAACTATCATATTATTATAAATAACAAAATACCTAATGTTTAATATGAAATAACGTGGTAATTTAAATATTTGAGCGATTCAAAAATAGCCTTGAAATAATAGATAATGTTTTACGTATGTCGCTAATCGATAAGGGAGATGGGCACAGTTAGAGGCAATCCGTAAAGCGGCGGCTGCGTCCCGGGACTATCAAGACATTAATATAATATTTATATTAATAATAGATTATTATTACGGTAGCGCAGAAACAAAAAAAGATGTTATTATCATCTTTTTATACAATGACATTGGCCGTAAGTCGAAATAACACATATTATTATAAATTTTACACATTGTGTACGGATCAAATCGTATTGGATTTACACCGTATCAAACTTACATACCATCAATAATACCATCATCGTTTACCGGCCAGCCGCACAGAATAACTGTATGACCGGTGTTATACATAATATGCGGTCGGACTATCATTCACAAAAAATTAAAATTAAAATTAACAATAAATTTACAAGGGAAAAGTTAACTTGACGAGACGCTCTGTATATAATGACGTACGACGACGATAAAAATAATAATATAATATCATCGTAACGTTCGAGCGGCGCCGTAAGTCTTCGGCTCTAGAAAAGGACCGCTACCGCGATAATTACCAGTAACAACGTCCCTGTGCACGTAGTAGGCGACAAGTTCGCGCTCCTCGAGTTGGAGACCGGAAGTAGTATGTCGACCTCGGCAATTTTCAACACGGACAGCAGCATGTTTGTTTTCACTTGCATGGCCTGCGTGGTGACCATAAACGAGAAGTTCTTCAAGATATCAAAACACGCCATCTGAAATAACGATATAATTTGTATAACATAATATATAAGTTGTGTTCACTCGAGTTATAATTAAAATATAATTATTATTATTATTCCGAATAGTGGGTAGAAATACTAGAAATAGTACACCAATGATAAAACATCTTATTAGAAAACATGAAAATAATAATAATGTATTTTTCTTTAACAAACACTGGTAATTAAAACAACAATATCATTACTTTCCAAATGTGTAATTTGGCCTTAAGTCTATAGCATTAAAAAAAAATGATGATATTTATTTCAAAATGCTAAATTTCTTAAGATGTTATAATATGAACCAAGAATGTCAACGAATAAAGAATCACTTTGTACAACACAACATTAAAATGTATAATATATGTATAACAGTGCGAATATGCACTGATATGTTAAGTAGGAGACCTGGTGACAATAGTTTAAAACATTACGTTRTCGTTATCAGGAAATCACAATGTAACATAGTTACCAATACCTACGTATAATATTAATTATTTATTATAATATAATAATTTACAATTAATAGGTTATTTTTGTGATGTTTGATTCGTCAATGCACTATTATTATTCAAACGCTTATTATTTACATTTTATATTTTATTTACACAAATGCAAGATACGACATAAAGCCATGAAAATACGCAATGTCAGTATTTATTTCAATTTTTTAAGCATCACAATGGCAATATCATACATTTTTCATATTCGTTGAATATTTGTAATTTATACATCAACGTAATGTGGGATAACTGCATCTGATTGACTGATTCAGCTACCTCAGATTTACACAAGCCGATAGTCAACTATACGTGAACTTGATCTATACAACTTAAGAGACGCATAGGAAATATGATTCTCCATTCATAATATTATAATAAATGATGATACCATTTTTTAAAACATCTGCATTTTATTTTTGTTCATATTTCATTATATATTCATATTTATTTTCTAATAAACGGTATTAATACTTTTTATTTTTAAAAAACCATATTTACAATCTACACATAAAGCACAATAAGTAAATTTGATAATAATAGTAATAAAAAATATCAATTGATTGGCTTTAGGGGGGAAAACGTCCATCAACAATACCTCCTGTTGAATTTGGTCGGTTCATATGGAGAAACCGTTTATTTATTTTATTTTTATTTTTTTTATTGGACAAGGGCGTCTCTTGGCCATTTTTTTTTAATCTCCTTGGAGTGTTTCTGTGGGTGGTTAAAGAGGACATACGAGAAATAGGAGGGGTTGGGTTTGAATGGAGTTTTGAGTGAAGTTTTTTGTAATATCGAGTTGTTATTTCGTTGACTGTTGAGATTTGTAGATCCTTATGTAATGATTCGTTGGTCATATACCATGGGGCTCCAGTTATTTGTCTGAGACATATGGATTGGAAGGCTCGTATAGGTCTTATATTACATGGTTTGGCTTTATCATAGATTTACATACAATAAGACCAGATAGAGGTAATAATCATCTTGTATATTAATATTTTGTTTTTTAAACTCAATGAAAGTTTTTGTTTTCTTGTGATTAAATTTGTATAGTTTCAACCAAACACGCGAAATTATGGTTACAGTGACAATATTATTTTCAAATAAACGGAATACTGATAACCACGCTTTTAATGCTGCTAAAATTGTTTTATACCTAGATGTAAGTACATATTTATATTATTATGATTCCGGGATTATAACCTTAACGTTTATTTATTTTTTTGATCTTAGTTTAGTTTTGGTTGTTAAAAAATAATAATAAGGTTTCCGGTCATAAATGATCTTAAATTTTAAAAAATATGAAATCGAGGTTGCGGTTACGGTTG